TTGTTTCCTTTGTTGCCTTAAGGAGGGCTAGCCTTTGTTTCTTTCCTTTGTTGCCTTAAGGACGAATTAATTACCTGTTTAATTCCTTCCAAACCAGGTTCTGCCAGGCTAGCCTTTGTTTGTTTCCTTTGTTGCCTTAAGGAAGAATTAACTCCCTGTTTATTTCCTCCCAAACCAGGTTCTGCCAGGCTAGCCAGGAAAGAATTAAACCATCAGTTTTGATACAGACAAATACCTGTGGAAGACCTAGTACCTAAAGTTTTAAACCCGGAAGAATTAATTTCAAACTCCTCTTTCTACGCCTTTTCCTGGTGAGGCCTGGTCCTCTTGCCGGTATTGCAAGCTGTTTTGACATGTGTTGACCTTTCCACTTTCTTCCATAGGTGAAGTAGTACGAATCTACTAAACTGACTGTGGCCTTGACTCTCCTTTCGTGCACCAAGGATGTATCACTTGTCAACCCTTGCGTGTGAACAAAATGTAGCTCCAGCAAAGTGGCAGTCACTGACCAGGAGCAGCACGAATGACCTCTTCGAATCACACCACTCCAGGAGTCCAGTCCAATACAGTCCAGTCCACACGCACCCTACCAGTACTTGTTTGAATGTGCCCATCCTGCCCCAGCCTCTTGTGATGGAACAGCTCAAGGTTCCATCCAGGAAATCGGTCATTGCGGTAGGGCCTGCAGGGAGCCAATTGGATCTGCAGTACAAAGGAGGTCTGAGATGCCCGCCCCGGAGCAAAGAGCAGTAAAACCTTGGACCAGCACACTGAATGCTTGCTGAGTTCTCTGAAGAACTCGTTCTGCACATGTCTGCACTGACAGCCAAGCTGCCGCAGGGACAGCAGTCAGGAGGATCATGAGAAGTCCCTCATCACGTGTTTGGTGAAAGCTGGACAACTCAGAGTATATAAATCAATGTTGAATGAAATGCAGGTCCAACTTCCAAAAATGGGTGAACCATGTCGCAAATGATTCGATATGATTCGCAAGAAGCAAAGGCCCCGGCAACTGGCAAAAGCAGCAACGAAAATCCAGTCGTCAAAGGTGTCTCTTTCTGGGCGACCGATTTTGTCTACTTTTCACAAAACCATGCAAACATGGAAGTTTTTTCTTTTTTTAACGAAAACACACCTCTTAAATGGAGCAAACTCAGTGCATTCTGAAAACGGAGATGCCAAGAGATCACCACCAGCAAGAGTTTGTGCAACAAATGCTCTATATACGGTCAACTTAATCAGTCAGACATTTGACGAACAAGTCCAAACACATATGGTGATTTTGGCACAAAGTGTCCAATCGACTGGCCAACCCCATGATAAATCAAGAAGGCGACGTCAATGAGCAATGCAGCAATCCAGCAAAACAACAAATTCAACATGCAAGCGCGCATGGATGTCACTGAGGTTTTGGCAGTGCCTCGGAGGGAAGATGGCGAAGCCAAAAATATGTATCCGGTCAATAGCCAGTTCACGACGTACTGCCTCAACACGCGGTCACAAACAAACGCTTTGTTCAGAGTCAATGATGAATATCTGGAAACACCCAAAAGCAATGAATCAAGGTATCAAAAACCTGGAACCAAAGTGGAGGGTTTAAAATTCAGATTGTGCGCACATTGTTACCCTCAAAGACCTTCTCACTACTTGCCAGTGGAACTTGTGGGGCACACAGTTTGACACCGAGTGACTTGCTACCATCACCCTTCTTATTTTCGACAATGGCAGCGTTCCACTTCCAAGTTTAGGGTTGGGAAGGCTTTTGACTCCGGCTCAGGGGCCAACAGCATCTCGAGCGCACCCAAACCTGGACAGCTGAACCCGCACCAGGAAAACATCTCTCTCTCTAGTCAATGCACTTTAGCCACCTGCGCAATTTGTTGGTTCATGTCACTTTGATTCCAACTGCCCTTGGAGGACTAAGCGCTAGCTGCTAACTTTACACCCAAGAGGCGATGCAAACAGCCACT